TACTTTTACCTCTTGCCAAGAGCCAGTTAAAGCCATGATCATGATCTCGACCAAGCCATGAAAACTACAGACAAAGCGAAGCAGCGAGGGAGGGAGATAGTAAGCGAGGGACGGACAGATGGCGACGCCAACAACAACGACGACGGCGACGACGCGCACATGAAGGTTGCCCAAGCCAAGCTGGAGATTTACTTAACGAAATCAAGAGGAAGCGCGTAGGATCGACTGTTAACCTAGCTGTCATACAGCATTGATTGCTGGCAGGCATTGGGCCACAGCTGGAGAAGAGGGAGCGGGGTGGGAGGAGAGCAGTCGTGAAGCAGTTGGCTTGATTGCTGGCAAAGCGCGTCGATCAAGTGGGCGAGGGGGCGAGCGGAGTGCGGGCGAGGGCGTTGCGCATACAGCAAATAGACAGAAACGAACCGAACCGAACCGAAGCGAACCGAAGCCGAACAGAACAGTCGGACGGACATGTTCGGCCATGTCCGAGTGACTCAGCGTATTCTCTTTGCTGTTATTTTTGTTGTTTTTTCTTCTCTTCCAGCTAACGAGCGTTTGGAGCTTTGTGCACGTGTGTGTGTTTGTGTGTGTGTGTGTGTGTGTGTGTGTGTGTGTGTGTGTGTATGTGTGTATGTGTGTGTGTGTGTATGTGTGTATGTGTGTGTGTTATTTTGTGGGTTCCCAAATGTTAAGTGCCTGTTTTGATTGGTTTGAGCGATCGCTCTTTAGTCCCGCAGTTCGCGATATTATGGGCAATGATTGAGGGGGCAGCCAGCAGTTGAGAAACTGATCATTAAATGAGTGGGGGTGGGGGGGGGGGGGGGGGGGGGGGGGGCAGGAGGAGCACAAAACAAACTTAACTGAGGTGTTGGCGAATATGGGAATCGGACATGCAAACGTTGAATTTAAGTCTGATCAATCACATTCTATTAAGAAGCTGGGAATACGAAATTCGATAAGAACTGTCTTGATTAAATTTATAGTTTGTTGACCCGCAACGTTGAATTACAGCAAAAAAGGGGTATTTTTACCAAACTCTGATTTGCAGGTTTTCTAAATTCCAAATCTATTGTTAACACTCTTTGTAAAACCTTTAAACTCCCATGAATTTGTCGAAAATGGGCTTATTTTTATGCTCGGTGACATTTTGGGTATGGGTTGAATAGATTCGATTATTTTTAGATTGATTTCCATATACATATGTATTTCACTTTTCATATAATGTATTACACCTAAAATATTAACATCCTTCTTTCAGGCATATACAATTTTTGGATAATAGACACAGAAGTTATTCGAGAATCCTTTTTTATATAAAGTGGGACTGAGAGAAGAGAGAGATCTGGGTTTTCCAGCTGTATGTATTGAGGTAAGCTTCAATTCATAAATATGTGTAAATATACAGGTAACTCGACTAAAGAGATATTGCCTAGGCCTTTTCATAATATACTCTACTTGCTGTAACTACATGGCATTTATGCTATAACCATTTGGGAATTACAAATGAATAACAACTTGATCTGCTGAGTTGTTAGAAAACAATTTTCCCTAGTCGATCGCTCTGCCAAAATTTCTTACATGCATTTGTGCTATAACCCTTTGGGAATTATAAATTAGTCTTTGAAGTTTAATAAATATCTGCTGTACTGTTTGATATGCTCAGGAATATCGTCTTGTCATACTCTGAACGAAGACTCCATGACTATTCGGGAATCAGAAATGAGTATTTGAACTAAATTAAAATAAATAACTGACTGATCTGCTTGTGGCTTATATTGAATTCATTGAAAACAGTTTATCCTATTCGGTTGTAAATCGTATTAAGTGCATTAATGCCATAACCATTTGGGAATTTCAAATGAGTATTTTAACCATATTAAACCATATATCTGCTTATGATTTATATCGAATTCCCGATTCGATAGCACTTGCATGTTCAGTTTTGGTTATTGCACTTCAGTCGAATGTAATTCCTGTCTAGCGTATCCAAATTCTAATGTCTAATCTGTGAGGATGCAAAACATCTGTTTGAGCCCAGGAAGAATGCACCTGTTGCGGCTTTTGTGCGCATTGTTTAGGCCAAATGCAAATATGAAAAGGTGTTGGGCGAGGCGTCAGCGGTGGGTTTTTTTTTCTTTCGGGAACCCTTTCGATGAATCGAGCAAATGCTGGAAATTCCGCAATATGCAAACGTCTTTCAGGAAACCGATGAGCATCCAGAACAACAACAACAAAGGCAACAATGGCAATACACACGCATTAACAATGAGCTGCGAGTTTTAACACCTGTGTGCCAGAATGCACTTGCAGCCGGGAGACGCGAAGGTGAAAATCTATACAAATATTTGACGTGACGAGAATAGAATTGAGAATTTGCATTTGTCGGCAAAAGAACAAAACAACAAGCAAAGCCGAGAGCAACAGGTAAGACTTCTTCTCATTCTTCTTCTTCTTGTTTGTTGTTGTTTTTGTTGTTGTTGTTGCAGCGGGGCAAATCATTAACACATTTATGCCTGGCAGATGACCAAACTCTGGCGGGGATTAGCAAAATGGTGCGAAAATGCGTTAAATCAAAAAAAAGAACAAATTGTTCAACGTGGCGGCAACAGTTGAAAGTCCGACCTGGCCATGGGCATGGCAAATGGCCATTGCCATTGGAATGTGCACACATGTTGCTGCAACAACAGCTCGTGCTGGAATTTGCTGCCAAGTGGGCACGTTCGAGTGACAAATGTCAATTTGCATTCGATTCTTGGGGCCCACTGTGCAATTTGGCCGCTGTTCCTAATTGCAATTGCCACCCACCACCCACCGCCCGCTTGGCCCACAGATTGAGCCCAGTTAACGTGTTGACTGCTCCAATCACTGCAGCCACTCATTTGACATACAGTAGCAGCAGCAACAACGAGCAGATACCCTGTACACATGCATGCGGCTGTGCTTGTTCTTCCCTCTTGAATGCCACTCTATAGGAAATGCTGTCTAGATTAACCTGGCTGTTTATAGTCCAATCATTATGAAACTTTCAGGGCTTTACTATTGTGTATAAAGAAGTGTACATCCCAAAGTCCACGGCTATATCTCGAAAGATGAGCTTTTTGCTCTCATTAAAATAGTGGAATACTTTTGATCTATAAATACACCACAGTAACCCATATAATACAAATCGATACTTATTGAAAATGAACTAGCGATTGAGTGGAACTTTATTTGATTGGAATCTTTATTCCAAATATCAGGTTTCCAACTCGACTCATCTATTGCTGCTAGCCAAGCATATATATATTTTATTAGGGAGCAGTTGCCCACCTCCAATTGTTACATGCATTTGGAACGAACTGTAATACCCATTATTCAATGTGTACAGGGTATAGCAGCAACAGCAGCAGCAGCAGCCACTTTCAAGCTCAAGAACACACCTTAAACTTTTTGGCCCGCTTTTGTATTGTTTACCTTTACAGTTTACTCGTTTTTTGTGTGGATTTCAAAAAGCCAGACCAACTGGCAAAGCCACCAACTGGCGGTGGACAACGGCAACGGGCAACTTGCCAGCAACAAGTTCAGCTCCAGCGTGGTTGTTGTTGTTGTTGTTGTTGTCGTTGTTGTCGCCTCGGCTGCAGTTCAATGTCAATTTCGATTCGTCATCCGCAGCTGCGTTGATTTCTCGGGCGACCTCTCCAATCTCTGTGCTGGCCTGCAGTTGCTGTTGCTGCTGCCATTGTTGTTGTTGCTGTTGTTTGTTTTGTAGCCGCTTTTATGGCCATGTTAACTTTGGACTTGGCTTTAACACAGGACCACCGCCGTTGACCATTGAACGCTCGCCGCCACAAACATAGCCTGGATGGGGTTCATTCTAGTGTAATTTATTGATATGCTCGCCAGTTCCATATGCATGTGTGCATGTGTACATGTGTGTGTGTGCATGTGTGTGTGTACATGTGTGTGTGGGCTTCTAGGCGGCAGCCAGATTATGGTGTAGCCAGAGCTCCACTGTGTGCAGCTGCTGCACGCCCACACAACTATAAATACTCGCATATCTTCTACCCTTTCCATTCGAATGATGCAGCAGTGTGAGATCAGAGCTGGAAATACATTGATCAAGCCTAGAACAAAGTTTAATTCCTCCAGCTGCGCGACTGTCTGGGCAAATATGACATTTGTGTAAAATTACAGTAAAACTCAGCTAACACGCCTAGGCTAGGCATGGAGTTTAGATAAGAGACTAGTCACAGTTCAATTTGATCACATTTGGTTTTAAGTCTCACCCATTTATAGAATCTATAATAGATTCTTAGTTACGTTATCGAGTACAGCTATGATCTATTTATAGGTTAGGGTATCTTCAAATAACACTCAAACTCAATTCCAGTTGACTTCTTGTTTTTCACATTTCTCAATTAAGTTCACATGTTAACAAAATCTTTTCCAGATCATAGATTAATGTAAAAACAATGAAATGCACACAAACCCCGTGTTTTTTTGACGATCAACTCAACAATTCCCTCAGACACCCTTCACTTAAGGGTTCAAATGCTCAAATAGAATCTATTCTTCACACAACAAAGGCCAACAATGTCAGCTATCTTGTGATCTTCATGTTTAAGGGTTGATGACACAGTTGGGCCAAAGAGACAAGTGAAGCATTTAAAGTCAAGGGTTATACTGCATAATTTAGGGCCTGTTTAAATGATTTGAACTGAAAATTCACACATTTGCTCAGACCTCAAAATTATTGTAGTTCATTAATCAGGAATATAAATTCGTTAACATTACATTTGCTTAAAGACGAAATGTTTATAAAATATGTTATAAGCTTAACACTATGTAATGAATGTAAAAGGAAACATGCATATTAATTTGACTGCTCTACATAGATACATGTATATATATATATACATGTATATATATATATATATATATATATATATATATATATATATATATATATATATATATATATATATATATATATATATATATTATTGTACAAACATATATTATATAAAATTCGTGACAAACAAATATATCCTCAGCACTTGAGACGCTCTCCGCCCACTGTGCAGCGAGCCGGCGCACTGATTCGATAATAACTCGCTCAATTCTCTTATTCTCTCAATTGGCTGAAAAGCTCACGTTCACGCTCCCGCTCCCGCTCATGTTGGGGCTCAGCCGGAGCGCAGACTCAATTCCAATTTGTGGTGCTGGTTGTGACTTGTTGGGCCTGGTCCAAGGCCATCTGCTGCTGGTTCAACAACATTTGCGACGGTTGCGGCTGCTCCTCTTGCGGCTGCCGCTGTTGTTGTTGTTGTTGTGTTAGTAGCTGTTGTTGTTGCTGTTGCAGTTGTTGTGGCTGCTGCGATTGCTGCATCGTCTGCAGCAGCAGCTCGCCCATCTTGGCGCGAAAGGCAACATTCTGGAGCGGCGACATTTGCTTCATCAGCGGCAAGAAACTGATGAGAAAATTGTAGTCCGAGTCGCCCACGTGCAGAATGTTCTTGCAGCGCGCCAGGTCCTGGCTGGTGGACTGTATTAGCTGCTGCTCCTCACGCTCCAGACTCTCCAGGAAGTTGACCTGCTCGTCGACACGCTTGGCGCAATGACAGCTGCTGGCGGCGGCGGCCTCCACGGCCGATGGCCGGCCCATGGGCGTGGGCAAGACGGTCGGCGCCGCCGCCGCCTGCTCCTCGGCGGCAGCGCTGGCCAGCGAAATGCTGTGCGAGAGTCGACGCAGCGCCTGCGGCGTGGCCATGCTCTGGAATTGCTGCATAAGATCATCGTTGTCCGCCTCCATTTCGTCCGTCGGCTGCGACTCCGTCTTGAATGACATAGACTCGCCCAGTGCCAGATCGCAATCGTCGTCCTCGTTGTTGCTGCTGTCCGAGCGCAGCCGGCGCCCGTCCAGAAAGCTCATCGCCTCCGCATAGGACCACAAATGCGCGGGCGACGCTTGTTGTTGTCGCTTCAGCTGCTGTTGGCTGCGATGCTGCTGCCGGCGATAGCTGCAGCGCAGGTTCTTCCACTTACTGCGACACAGTTCCACTGTGCAAAAGAGAGAAAGAGCGAGCGAGAAGGAGAGCGAGAGCGGGAGCGAGAGAGGAATGTGTGGCACTTGAAGTTAGCTTCGCTTTTGCTTGACTTGACTTGGCGGCTGACTCACCTTTGGCGCCCAGCGCATCTGCCACGCTGTGCCACTGCCGCAGCGTCTCCACGCGATTTGCGTGCTCCGGATGGCTGGCGTCCCACAAGGCGGGACGCTGCTTAACCTCGTTGATCAGCCTGTGCATGTCCATTTGCCTGCGTCTTTATCAACAAACTAAAAATGACAACAACAGCAACAATGTGACTACCCCAACGGGAGCGAGAGAACTAATATGCCGGCGTCGCGCAATGCCTGCGTACTCTCTCGCCCGCGCTCTCACTCTCTGGCTGCGCTCTCTCAAGATGGCAGAGCGCGTGACAGCGGCAACGTTTATTGTTTTTGCGTTCATGTTTTGCTTAATGCTCTACACAATTGCTTGATTAAGTTATTGAAGACGCTTGTAACACAAGGTGTGTAAAAATATAGATAAAAGAAAACATAAAGGGGAATGCAAACTAATTGCTTTTGCTAGAGTTTAACGGGGTAATCAACATTTTGCACATTGGTTAAGTTGTATTAGGGTATTTAATATTCGACGCTGTTAGCTTTGTGCTAATTTTGTTCCTCTTTCAACACAGCTTTAGCCTCGTTTTCATTTCATTATAAAATTGCTTACAGAGTGTTGTGCACTGGTCCCGTTATCTCTATTATTCGTTTCTTGTTTGTTTGCGTTCTTGTCTCATTGCTCTTTGTTTTTGTTGTCTATTTTTTTCTTTGCACTTGGCGCGCTCTCTCTCTCTCTCTCTCTCTCTCTCGTTTGCTGCCGTGTGGCGTTGGCGTCGCTGTTCTCTCAGCTTTCGCTGCTTCGGTTCCAGACATTGAACTTGGCGCACCGGCAACGTCATTGACGGCAGGCACAGTGGCGCAGTTAGCACAAACATGCGGCTTGCCGATATATGCAAGTAATTAACTATCGGAGAACAACTATCGGCTATCGGAAAGAGATCCCTAAAAGATTGCAACATGTTGCCCGAAAAGGCAGCTTGGCAACACATGTTGCTGACAGTTGCGGCGACAACAAGTGGACTGTGAACTGGCTGAAAATATGCGGCAGCAATTATCTTTGACACACACAAACACACACACACACACGTGCACACATATGTATAGCCCATATAGCATATCCATATCCATATCCATATCCATATGTCGCCAGTTTGAATTTGTGCACGACTTTCGCTTGGTCCGTTCCGTCTCGGAGCTGTTTGTTGCAGCTGCTGTCAATCTGTTGGCCATTTTGGCTGCTCCGCTTTCAAAAATTTCCATGTGTCATTTCAAAAATGCAAATATGGACATGATCTGGCCGCTGAGCTGTTGCGGGTTTTGGGTTTTCAGCGTTCTCCGTTCGCCGTTTGCCGTTCTCTGTCTGCCGTTGTCTTGTGCCGCATGCCGCATGCCGCATGTGTGCCCATGGCTGCAGTTCGTCAGGCGCTTCAGCTCGCGACTGACAGCTAAGTGACGTCTAAATTTCGTACAACGAATTGATTATGGAGGCATTTATGCATGCGTACCATCGATCTTGTCTGTGGAACCTGTGCCTAGCCATCGGGACAGACAGACAGCCGGACAGCCTTGCCAGCTCGATCGCCTCTCGATGTGATTGTTGTGACTGTCGCAATTGATTTGTAGCTGCCCCAACTGCAACCGACTCCAAATCTGATTCTCGTCAATGTTTGTATTCAAATTTCCACTCGGTTTCTTATTCACAATGTTTATTACCAGTCTGCGAAGCCAGCGCAATTTATGAGCGCTTTGTTTAGGCCCCAAGTAATCGCAGTTGCTTTGCATATGTTTAAAAACCAAAAAAAGACTAGCAACTGTTGCTAGTACAACAGCAATATGGCTAAGATACCCTATTGGCAAATAAAGTGTTTAAACTAACACAAATTTAAGTGCAGCCGGAATCCGTCAAGATAAAGCTAAACTTGAATCTATAGGTATATTCTTTCACACATGCGCGAATATACATATATTTAATGAAAGAGATATTCGTACATAAACACATACATTCACATATATATATATATATATATATATATGTATATGCATATATATATATATATACATGCATACATACATGCACTTAAACACAATTACATATGTACATGTTCGTACATGCCTGCCATACCTGAATTCATGAGAATCGCAGAGTAAGGCAATACATTAAAATAAAACAGATTTCCCATCATATTTCAAAACAGCCTCATTCCTTCATTTTCCATCCAGGTATGGGGAAAGTGCAAAGAACGTATTGAATCAATTTTTACGTAAATCTTCAGAAATGAATTTAACACAAATCTGATCAAAAACTGATTTCTCATTCCCTTTCTTTTGAAGGTTCTGTTTCTGGGAAACTCCATATGCTAATATAGAGTTAGGCGGAAATAATCGTTTGAAACAGACAAGAAAATGTTTTATAGATCGATTGCAAATTTTAAGCCGAATCAACAAGTGCTCAGACTCTTAACTTCAGCTTAAATAAAGCATTTGTTATTAGCATGACATAAAAAAATAATTAATATAGAGGAGAACTGTTAATCTTATTGTAGTTATCGTTAATTCTAACGCTCTATAAGCGTCACTTGGCGATTGCCGTTGTCGGCATTTAAGTCGGCCATAAAATGTTGCTGTCGTCGTCGCAGTTGTTGTTGCTGCCGTTGATTATTATAACAAATTTGCATAATTATGCCGCTTATCTTGGCCATATGTCTAGTCAATGGCAGACACCAGCAACAGTCTGACAGACAGACAAACAGACGGACCAACGGACGGACGGACGGATTTGACATTGTCAGCAGCTGTTGCTGTTGCTGCTGTTGCTGCTGAGGCCAGCTAACTTGGGTTGGCAACACGCGCCAGCAATCGACAGAGACACCCACATGTTGCAGTTGTTGTAGCAATTGTTGCTGCTACCGAACATCGCATCTTCAGGCGGAGGCTATGCAAACGACAGTCTTGTTTAAGGCCATGTTGCTGTTGTTAATTGTTGCTGTTGCTGTCAGCAACGTAAACAAGATTCGAATGTCTTGGCAGCAGGCGCAACAGCAACAACATAATAAATTGTTGGATAAGAAAAAAACAGTTAGTTGCAGTTGACGCACTGCGAATCATAAAAACTGACAACAAATTGATTGCCAATCAACAACATGAACACGACAGCAGTAGCAGCAGCAGCAGCAGCAGAAGTTGCTGCTGCGCCGGCAACAATTGCAGGTGTCAATGAATGCGGCGCATAAGGAAAACCGTGACAGTGGAAAGCAGCCAACAGGCAACAGCGCAGCAAAAAAAGTTAATTGGCAAATGCCAATTGCTGCTAATGTGGCCAGTTATTATGTCAAACGGTCAGGCAGCAACATTTTCCAATGACTTGTCATGCAACAGCAGCAACAGCAACAACTGTAGCAGCAACATGTTGCTGCTGCTGCATCGCCGTTCAACCGGACCAACAACAAGTGCACCGGCTGCCGCTCTGTTACAGTTTGCCGACCCACGACCACGACCACATGGCTCCAGCTGCAGCTCCAAATGAAAGATGTCCATGAGGCGCACACGAAGAGATTCCAATAGCAATTAAAAATATTTACAACGCAAATCCAACGGCGGACCAGAGTGCGCCGATCGACAGCTGGACAGCTGGACAGCTGGACTCTGCTGGACGGATCAACAGATCAACAGATCAGTCCAGCTGCCTCAGCTGCCCCACGGCTCAAAAAAATCGTTGATTTCACCGCCAAAAACAAATGCAGCAACAATTGCAACAACTGTTGCAACAACAACAGTTGCAACTACGCACAGTTGGTTGCTTCAGTGGCACGCTTTGAAAAAGTTCACTTATTGCAATTTTTATAAACTATACAAATCCGATTTAACGATCTTAAAATCAACCAATTTAATAATAATATATAGTATATATTATGATCTTCCCAACGTCTTCAAACACTTTTGCAATGATCTGCATAAAATGTCATTTGATATTTGGGGTTGGCGTGAGTTAATTTTAAAAAGACAAGGCCGACAAAATCAAACAAAATCAATTATTATAGAGATCGCTGTCGCAGGTAACACAATTACCTATGACTTGAGAACCTGGATGTATTACCTGGATTCTATTGAGGCAAAACAGCTCAATATTGGCTGAAGGCAATATGAAGTTCTCTCATATATCTATGTGTTAGGTTTTAGATACGAATGGTTCTTAGATTTAAAAAGATCAAAATATAAAAATTTGTTACCTTTAAAGCAGTTACTAAAGCTTTTGGGTCTTAGATAGATTAGGGTGTATCTCTAGAGGGTGCGGTTTTTATGTCTAATAGATATTGTGTTCGAAAGATATTAGGGTGTCTCTCTAGGTACGATTTTTGATCTCTCGCATATATTGTGTTCCACAGATATAAGGGAATATCTTTAGAGCGTAAAAGATAGTTGCTCAAGAAATGTGAAGCTCATAGCTAGATAAACTAAAGTTTTTCATAATGATCTATTTGCCACTGTGCCATGTCCAGCGATCCACTTAGCCACTATGTATATATATACATGTGTGTGTGTGCGTGTGTGTGTGCGTGTGTGTGTGTGTATGTGTGTGGTGTGTTTAGCCGCAGTAGATCAGCAGTAGAGCAGTTTCAGTTACAACTGCTGGCAGCTGCGTGGCCGTTAGAAATGCTAATGAAAGTCAAGCGGGCCGCCGCATAGTCCAGATCCCGTCTCGATCTTTGCCATTGGCAGCTGCTGCTGCTGTTGCTGTTGCTGCTGTTGCAGTTGCTGCTGTTGCAATTTGATTGCAAGGGGCATAGAAAGTTGCCAGCCAGCTACCGTTTGGGCACAGCTGCCTCGGGCTTGTTGCAATTGCAACTGCAACAGCGAGTCCGACTGCGAGCCCGAGCCCGAGTGTGAGTGCGAGTGCGACATATGCGATGATGATCAACGGCCGGCATTGAAATGTTTTCCGCTGTCGCAGTTTTTCCTTTTTGCGCGGAAATTCAGCACACGTGGCTCTTTCAAGTTTTTATGATTGGCACAGGCGGCGCTTCCTGCTGCCAGCCGTGGCAGCCGTCGCAGTTGCGGCAGCTTGCGGTGTTCTGGCAAGGACGTTTGGTTTTTTTTTCTGCCTGCCTGCCTGCCGCTGGCATTGGCCTACCCCTGCCTTCCCCCCGTTATCAGGCCATATGTGTGTGTGTATGTGTGTTTGTGCGGCTTTGTTTCAGTTGCTGCCGCGCACACATGCCACACAGCCGGCAGCCAGAGAAGTCGAGATGTCGCGAATGGGCATGGACCTGGGCCTGGGCCTGGGCATGGGCTGTGATCGGGAGACAATTCGACAGCCGGCAACCAGTTCGCCTGG